CTGCTTGCCAGGGATGCGCTTGGCCACGTAGTTCTCATAGTAGCGTCGGTTCATCTGTCTAGTCTCTAGTGTGGCCAGACCCTGGGGCCAGCTACGCTCGTGGGCATTTTCAATTAGCTCGTTGACAATAGAAGCAGGACAGCCACTCTCCACCAGGGAGCGCTTAATTACAGCCTGGAGCACAGCATCAGGAGTCGAAATCATCCCTCCCCAGCGGGTCACTCTTGCTGGCTGAAGGGAGTTCACCCACCTGTGTGGAGGTGATTAAAGTTGGTCACTTCAGCTCATCTTTTTTCTCTGTATTGGCTTTTTCTGCTAATAGAAATAACCACCCACTCTGAACTCAGCTTACCTATTCTTCTTTCTTTCCTTACATCATTGGTTCAGAAACCCCAAATCTTTCCCCAGCTAGTCCCAACTGAGTCACCACACGTTATTCACCAGATTAAATTCCATGAGTCTGCACTCTGTCCCTGTTACTTTTCTTTGAAATCCAAATACTTAGCACAGATAGCACTTAACACAGTTAGTGCTCTATGTTTAATGAATAAAACAATTATTCCTTATACTATGTCCCACTCAGCACTAGTTGCCCTATATATATTGGTTCACACTTACAGTGTCTATGAACTGTATAGGACTCCAGAACTGAAAGAGATCTTAGACTTCACTTGTATACTTCGCTTGTCTTTGTTGCATTTTAAAGATCACTTTCCTGGACTTGCACTCTGCCTCCTCTTCTCTGGGTTGTAAGCTACCTGAAGACAGGGACGATATCTTCTATTTCTTTTTGGCCCTCCTAGCACTCCATAGCCTTTAATACAGGGATTCGTACGTGGGTACTCACCTGATTCTGGACAAGTGCATCCTTGGGCAGGCTTTCCCTTCCATCCACCCAAATGCATAAGATATCCTGTGGTGGAGCTAAGGGTTATCCTCTTCTCCTCTGCCCCTGTCCTTAATACGAACATCTGAGAAGCAGTCACCCCAGCCCAGCTCTCCTAAGACCCTCCTTCTTCCACTCTCCTGCTCTTCCTCCTTTCAGGCCTTGTTGTCAAGACGTGGAATCACTCCACGTCCTGAGTGACACTCACTCTAGGATCTCGTTGTATTCAATTGTCTCCTCCAGGTTCTGAAGGTTGGGGTTGACACTGCGGATTGCACGCATGTATGCCTTTAGCAGCTGTATGTCTCGCTTCTGTTGTGGGGAAGAAAAACCAGGAATCATGGTTAGGGCAGAAAACAGAAAAAAGACAAAAGTTTATCCGAGAATGAGGGCAACTGAGAGATCCAAAGAACAACCAGTTGTAAGCTTCAGGAAGACAGGGATAGGACTGTCTCACTCACAGCTGTCTCCTTAGTACTTACAAATGTGCCTTCACAGAGAAGGCATCTGGTAACTATTAGGTGAATGAATGCTATGAAAGGAAGTCAAGGACAGCTCTAATCTGATTCCATGCTAAGCCACAGGCAGAATATCCACTCATCCAGGCTCACAAGAGTAAACACAGGTCTGTGTGTTCACAACTGGTTTTTATTACCCACAGGTAGGCAGTTGTCTACATATGAGGGATGTATTCTCCCCCGTGTCTCGGGGCCTACCTGCTCTGCCAGCTGGTGTTTGTGTTCAGCTGATGTCTTCTCCAGCTCTGCGATGCGTGTCTGCTGCTGCTGTACCACTGAGCGCAGGTGCTTAA